TTTCCTGCATCCCTCTTTCCCCAAACCCCTCACCTTTTCCTGCACCAGTTCCCCAAACCCCTCACCTTTTCCTGCACCCCCCTTTCTCCCCCAAATCCCTCACCTTTTCCTGAATCCGTTTCCCCAAACCCTCATCTTCCCCCAAACCCCTCAGCATTTCCTGAATCCCTGTTTCCCCAAATCCCTCACCTTTTCCTGTACCAGTCCCCCAAACCCCTCACCTTTTCCCGCACCCCTGTTTCCCCAAACCCCTCAGCATTTCCTGTATCAGTTTCTCCCCAAACCCCTCACCGTTCCCGCAGCAGTCCCCAGCCCCTCACCGTTCCCGCAGCCCCTTTCTCCCAAACCCCTCACCTTTTCCTGCACCCCTCTTTCTCCCCAAACCCCTCACCGTTCCCGCAGCAGTCCCCAGCCCCTCACCGTTCCACACGCCCCTTTCTCCCCGGCCCAGCGCTCCCCGCACTCCGCATCCCTCCCGCACATCGCGCTGCTTTTCCCCGCCCCGTGCCCAAACTTTCTCGCTGTTTCCGGAGCGCCGCCGCGGGCCGGGCGCGCACCGGGACACCGGCGGGGCACCGCGCTGGCCCGGGCCAGGCCGGGCCGTGTCCCGCGCCGTGTCCCGGGCCAGGTCCCGGCCCCGCCGCCCCCCTCGCACTTCCCGGCTCCTTTTCCTCGCTCTTCTTTATTATCGCTCTCACCCTCGCCCCCCCGGCGCCCGAACCCCCCGCGCCCCTCCCGGGGCCGGCGGGCGCGGCCCGTGCCCAGCCCGGGGGCCGCGGGTGTCACTCACTGTCCGGAGCCCCTCGGAGCCGCCTCCTCTCCTCCTCCTCCTCCTCCTCCTCCTCCTCCTCCTCCTCCGCCGGGGCCCGGACTGGGGCCGTGGGGGGAGGGGAGGCGGCTCCCTCAGGTGGCCACGGGCGGGGGGGGCGGGGGGGCTGCGCGCGGCGGGAGCCCCCCCCCCCCCCCCCCCCCCCCCCCCCCCCCCGGACACCCCCCCCCCCGCCCCCTGCCCCGGCCTGGGGCGCAGCCTTAGTTGGGTTTTTTTTTAATTTTAAAATCTTTAAACTAATGATTGACAGCCGCGCCGGCCTATAGAAAGAGGGGATGCCGGCCCCGCGGCCAATCGCCGCGAGGAGGCAGCGGTGGCCCCGCCCGCGTAGTAAGCAGGGAGGTGGAAAAGGCGCGGTTTGGTTTTGATTGACGGGCGGCTTGGCCAATCGGCGGCGCAGCCCCGCGGGGCGCGCCTCGCCCCTGCTGTGCGGCCGGAAAGAGGCGCGGTGTGGGTTTGATTGATAGCTGAAGCGCCCAATAGGAGGCAGCGTGCGGCCGGCGGCAGCCAATGGGGGCGCGTTCCGCGGGAGGGGGCGGGGCGGCGGGGCCGTTTCGCGGGCCGCTCCCGGGACGGGCGCGCCGCCCTTATCCGCCCGCGCAGGCCGCGCCGGGGCCGCAGATAGGGCGGGCGGGGCCGGCACCGGGAGGCATCGGGGAGGCACCGGGGAGGCACCGGGAGACATCAGGGAGACACCGGGGCCGGCACCGGGGAGGCACCGGGAGGCATCGGGGAGACACCGGGGAGACACCGGGGAGGCACCGGGGCCGGCACCGGGGAGACACCGGGGAGACACCGGGAGGCATCGGGGAGACACCGGGGAGGCACCGGGGCCGGCACCGGGGAGGCACCGGGAGGCACCGGGGCCGGTTCTGCGGGCGGGGATGGCGGGGAGCGGCCCCGGGAGGCGCCGCGGGGCCGGGAGCGGGAAGGGCCCGGGCCCGGTGCTGCCGGGCCACCGGAGAGCCCCGGGGCCGCGGCGGGGCTGAGCCGCCCGGGCCGGCCCGGCTGCGGCGCCGGGATCCTTCCCGGTGGGATCTGGGTCATTCCCGGTGGGATCTGGGATCTTTCCCGGTGGGATCTGGGATCATTCCCGGTGGGATCTGGGATCATTCCCACTGGGATTTGGGATCGTTCCCACCGGGATTTAACCCCGGGATCGTTCCCGGTGGGATCTCGGTCCTTCCCGGTGGGATTTGGGATTATTCCATTGCATTTAACCCTGGGATCCTTCCCGGTGGGATCCTTCCCGGTGGGATCTGGGATCGTTCCCACTGGGATTTAACCCTGGGATCGTTCCCGGTGGGATCTCGGTCATTCCCGGTGGGATCTGGGATTATTCCATTGGGATTTAACCCTGGGATCCTTCCCGGGGTGGGATTTGGGATCATTCCCACTGGGATTTAACCCTGGGGTCCCTCCCACTGGGATTGGGATCATTTCCATTAGGATTTAACGCTGGGATCATTCCCACTGGGATTTGGAATCGTTCCCACTGGGATTTGGGATCGTTCCCACTGGGATTTGGGATCGTTCCCACTGGGATTTGGGATCGTTCCCACTGGGATTTGGGATCGTTCCCATTGGGATTTGGGATCGTTCCCATTGGGATTTGGGATCGTTCCCATTGGGATTTGGGATTGTTCCCATTGGGATTTGGGATCGTTCCCACTGGGATTCGGGATCGTTCCCACTGGGATTTGGGATCGTTCCCATTGGGATTTGGGATCATTCCCACTGGGATTTGGGATCGTTCCCACTGGGATTTGGGATCGTTCCCGCTGGGATTTGGGATCGTTCCCACTGGGATTTGGGATCGGCTCCGTTTGGTTGGAATTTCCCACAGGAATGAGAGAAAAATCTGGGAACGAACCCCAATTCCAGGCGCTGGGAGCACCCCTGGAATCCGGAGTTATCCCGGAATTCTGGCAGCTCCAGCGGGAAATCCGGGGAAAAGTTCCGCCTCAGAGCCGGGAATTCCCAGCTCGGGAGAAAAGTGGGATTTGGGGAATTTTGGGGGGGATTTCTTGGAGATTTTTTAGGATTTTTCGTGATTTTTTGGGGAAATTTTTAGGGGATTTTCTGGGAAGATTTTTTGGGAATATTTGGGGGATTTTTGAGGATTTTTTGGAGGAATTTTTGGGGATTTTTTTGGAATTGTGGGGGGAATTTATGGGGATTTTGGAGCTGTTTTGGGGATTTTTTGGGGGGATTCTTTGGGAATGGGATCCAGAGGGAAAACAGCTGCAGGCTCTGGACAGAAATCCCATTTTTTTTAAGCTGTCCACACCAGGGATGGGATTTTAGGGAGAAATCCCGCCCATTAATCCTGATTTCCAGGATTTTGTGCTCATTTCTCCAGAGAATTCCATGATTTTAGGAAGCAAAACTCTCAATGAAACCAACCTGCAGAGAAAATCCTGGATTTTCCCGTTTTCCTCCAAAATCCCCAGGAATTCCAGCTCCTCCTTCCCAGCTCTGCTCCACGGACAAAAAAAGAAGGAAGAACTGCCACGAAAAGCTATTAAATAATTTAATATACAATGGTAAAAAGCTCTGTACATGGGAATTTCCGTGGGGAATTCGGGAATTCCGGAGGAGCCCCCGGGATTCCCGCGGGATTTTCCGGCCGGTTCACCCATTCTGAGGGATTTGCACGGGAGATTGAAGGCGGAAAATTGGGGATTTTTGGGAATTCTGCTCCTTCCTCGGCGGCTCCGGGGGTGGGAACGGCGCTTTTCCCCCAGAAAATTCCCTGGGGAATTCCCAAAGCTCAGCCCCAACCGCAGCTCTCCAGAATTGGGATTTTTTTCCCCATTTTTTTTCCGAGTTTTTCCCAAAGTTTTTGGGATTTGGCCGCCCTGGAAGTGCTCAAGTCCAGGTGGGAGCAGCCTGGAATAGTGGAAGTGTCCCTGCCCTGGGATTGGGATCATCCCGAGGCTTTTCCAGCCCAAAATTTGGGATTTGGATCCCAACATTCCAAGCTGGATTGGAAATTCAGAATATCGGGCCTGAAATTCCAGAATATTCTGGAACATTCCGGAGTTAGAAAGGGAAAATTTGGATTTCCTGGATGGGGTTCGGAATTTTCAGCCTTTCCCAACGCAGGAAAATTCCAAGGAAAAAGATTCCAAGGAATTGGTGAGCCCCAGAGGAGATAAAAACTGGGAATATGCTTCCCAAAAACCTCAAAAACTGGGAAAACTCCCCCAGTTCCTGATGAAAATCCCCAGATCCCAAAATTCCTGGGATGGTTCTGTCTCGGTGGGATCCCAAAAAAACCCTCGGGAGCCTCTGGAATTTCCCACAGGAATTCCAGCCCTGCATTCAGGCTGGAAAATCCCCGGATTTGTGAATTTTTTGGGATTTTTTCCCAGGTTTTTTTGAGTTCCAACGGCACCAAGAGTTTTGGTTAATCCCCAAAAAAATCCGTAATAAAAACTCCCAATCCTCAATCCCCAAGAATTCCAGGGATTTCCAGGTCCTCTGGAGTTTTCCAAGAGAATCAGAACCTGGATTTCCATGGGGGAAAAAAAAGAAAAAAACAACCTGGAAAATCCCAATTTTTGGGAACGGGACAAAAAAACCTCATCCCTGGAATGAATCCCAGAGGGAAAAACTGAGGAACTTCAGTGGAAAAAATTCCTTGCTCTGGAAAAAGGTGGGATTTGGGAAGGAAAAATGCTGGGAATGAGGGAATTTTAAAGGGATTTTAAGGGAATTTTAAGGTTCCTTCCCCATCCATTGGGATTCAAAATTCCCAAAAATCTCTTGGAAGTTCCAGGGCTTTGGTTTTCCTCTCTCCAAGAATTCCAGAGTTCTTTTCCCTCCCCCTTTCCCAAAAAACTGGAGGAATTCCAACTGGGAAAAACAACTTGATTCCACCCCAGGCACTGCTGGGATCCTGGAAAAAACTTCCAGCTTTTTTCTGGGATTCAGCATTCCCAGATTTCTGGGAAATCCAAAAAAAACTGGGCTAAAACCAGGGAGTTTAACCTGGACAAGGGAACTTTGTGCCAAGGGCAAGGCTGGAATTCCATCCCAAACTTCTGGATCAGGATTATTCCCAGGATTTGGGAATCCTTAAGGCACGGCTGGTGCCTCCAGCCTGGAAAAATTTGGGATCAGCAGGAAAATTCCGGATTTTTCCCAATGCCAACGGCGCGGGGAAGAGCTGTGGCTGCGGGAGGGACATCCCAGGAAATCCCGGATTTCCTCCTTCCCAAAAAAAATGGGAATTTCCCCTCAGGGGAATTCCAGCTGGGAATCCAATCCATGATTTCCTCATCCCAATTATCCCCGAGGATTCGGAGCTTCCCGCTGGAATTCCCAGCCTTTCCTGGGAATTCCCTCCAGGATCAAACCTTGGGATTCACCTGGACATTCCCACCTGGAAAAGAGCTCCGGAGGCTCCGGGCATCCTGGAAAATTCCTGGCTTCTTCTCGCTACCAGGAGGAATTCCGAAGCTTTTCCAAGGATTTGTTTTGTTTCTTTTCCCAAGATTTTGACGCTTTCCCCCCCCCCGCCCCCCTGGGATGTTGTTGGTGGATATCCTGGAGTTTTCCTGGAGTTTTCCTGGAGTTTTCCTGGAGTTTTCCTGGAATTCACAGCAGGCTGGCCAGGCTGGTGGTGGGGCCGTTCTGGGCCTGGAACTGGACTGGGGGGGGTCCATCCGTCCACTGCAAGGGAAAAACGGGATCAGAATCCCGGGGAAAATTCCCAGAAAATTCCCTCGGCATCGTGGCATTCCCAGGAAAACCCTAACCCTCCCCCAGGGATCCGAAATTCCAACCCCACATCCCGCTGGGATTTGGTTTTCAAGGAGGTTTTTTTTTGGGATTTCAAAGCCAAAATCCCAGGAAAAATGGGAGAAGTTCCCTCGGGATCACGGAATTCCCAGGGAATCCCACATTCCACCAGGGAACCCTGCTGGGATTCGGTTTTCCAGGATTTGGGTTTTTTGGGGTTTTTTTTTGGTATTTCAAAGCCAAAATCCCACTGGGAAAGGTTTGGATGATCCGGAGGGAAGAAAATCCCAACTTTGGCTGTGACAGCACTGAAAAAACCCTTCAAAAATCCCGTTATTCCCAGGCATATCCCGATTTCCTACGGGATATTTCTGAGGGATTTTTTCCCTGGGAATGGCAATTCCAGGATTCCAGGGATTGGGAGGGATCGGCATGACGCTGAGGGAGGAAAATCCCAACTGTGGATGGGACAGCACTAAAAAAAACCCATTAAAAAAAGCTGTGCAAATGAGGTGAAGGGTCCTTTTTGCCCCGGGAATGTCGGGAATGTCGGGAATTCTGGGAATTCCGGGAATTACCGTGATCAGGTTGTGCTCGGGGAGGCTGCAGGCCTCGATGTGATCCTGCAGCAGCTGCTGCGAGAAGTTCTGGTGCATCTGGGCGGCCTCGTGGGCATCCATGGCATTGCCACACGCCTTGTTCAGGTCTGGGAACGCGGAAAAATCCCGGGATTTGGCCCCTTCCGGCCTCGGGAAAATCCCGGGATTTGTCCCCTTCCCGCCTCAGAGAAATCCCGGGATTTGTCCCCTTCCCGCCTCCGAGAAATCCCGGGATTTGTCCCCTTCCCACCTCAGAGAAATCCCGGGATTCGTCCCCTTCCCACCTCGGGGAAATCCCGGGATTTGTCCCCTTCCCGCCTCCGAGAAATCCCGGGATTTGTCCCCTTCCCGCCTCGGGGAAATCCCGGGATTTGGCCCCTTCCCGTCTCGGGGAAATCCCGGGATTTGTCCCCTTCCCGCCTCGGGGAAATCCCGGGATTTGTCCCATTCCCGCCTCAGAGCCGCCCCCATCCCAAAATCCCTGCCCTGGGTCCGGGTTTCGTGCCAAAATTCCCTCCGGCTCAGGCTAAACCTGCTCCGAAAGCTCCACGGAAATCCCAGATTTTTCCCCAATTCCCAACTCCTGGCAGCACCCAAATCCCAGGGATTGCCTGGATTGGGATTTTTTTGGCGCTTTCCAGCCTCATCTGGTGAGGCTGAAGGTGGAAAAATCCTGGGATTTATCCCGTTCCCACCTCAAAACAGCCCTCATCCCAAAAATCCTGCCCTGCGTTTGGGGGCTGCACCAAAATCCCAAGGATTCCCTGGGATTGCAGGGAATAAAATCCCAAAACTGCCAGGGATCCCCTGGGATGAGAAGGAATAAAATCCCAAGATTTCTAAAGATTCCTTGGGATTGTAGGGAAACGGATTCCCAAGGATCCCAAAGCTCCCCTGGAGCTGCACATTCCCACCCTTGGGATAATCCCCCAATTCCCACCCTCCCCAAGGCTCTATCCCAGTTTTTTGTGGACACTGAATTCCCCTGCAGTTACAAATTCCCGTTCCCCCACAACCCTGGGATAATTCCCACTTTCTCCCAAGGCTGTATCCCAGTTTTTATGGATCCCAAAGCCCCCTGGAGCTGCAATTCCCATTCCCCCACAACCCTGGGATAATTCCCACATTTTCCCCAGCATTCCCACCCTCCCAAAGGCTCTTTCCCAGTTTTCCAGGATAATCCCTGATCCCAAACCACCCCTGGAGCCG